CCTCGCCGGCCATATGGATGCAGTGGTCCACCTTGGTGGCGTCGAGTTGCTTGCCCTTGCCCTTTGCCGACTGCGCGTGCGCCTTGTCGAGCTCCTTTGCGAGCTGCTGCAGCGACCGGAGCGACGCCTGGACGAGCGTGAGCTTGGAGCGCACGCTGGCGCCCTCTGTGGTTGCGGCGGCACCGTTGTCGGCGCGCACCTTGTCGTACGTGTCGAGCGCCTGCTTGGCCTTTTCATGGTCGCCCTCCTTGAGGTAGACTCTGGCTTGCTGCAGGTAGGCCTTGTCGAACTTGGGGTTGAGGTCGAGCAGACTCTGGAAGTCCTGAAGCGCAGCCGAGGTGCGGCCGAGCGAGAGCTGTGCGGTGGCCCTGCGGTAGTAGGTGAGCCATGACGACGGGTCGGCCTGCAGCGCAAGATCGAACGACGAGAGCGCCTCCTGATAGCGGCCGGACTGAAGCGCGGCGTTGGCGTGGGTGAGGTGCTGGTTGGCCAGGCCAGGATCGATGGCGGATGCTACACCTTCGGCATGCACGAGGAGCCCAGAGGTGGTGAGCCCGAGTGCGATGCACAGCGTCCACAAGAACGGAAGCAGGCTGCTCCTCATCGCGGCGAACTAGCTGTGGCTGAAGGGTCAGCCAGCCAAGACGGTGCAGGCAATGTACCTTGGAAGAGAGCGACAGATGGAGAGAGAGACTGTGCCGTCGCTGACCAGACGAACGGCCGAGGTATATGTGTATTGAGCGTGGCGAAGCGCTGAGCTGGATGGGTGAGGTGGGGGTGTGAGAACAGGAGTGGCAGCTGTGTTGGATTTAAGCTGGTGGAGCATCGAAGCTTCCAGCTCATGCAGCCGAGCCCCGCCACGCCCACGCATCCGCCGCCGCCGCTCTTGTGCGTGAAATTCAAGTCTCCGCCGCTTGCACGCTCAGGTCGCCGCAAACGGGGCGCCGCTGCCAACGTGGAAGCCCACCAAGGCTGCATGCGGGGGTGCACACCGTCTCGCACGGGAAATTCGTCACCTTCTCGAATTTTGTTCTGAACGACGGCGTAACACCCTTGTTTCGCCCGCAGGCCGAACCGACCCCAATGCCACACTTTGTCCAAGCAAGTCGACTTCCGATCCATGACCGTTGCACTGAGTTTGCGGGGAAAGACTAGCGAAAAATACAAAGCGAAGGCCGCTAGATCAGCAAGCCCCAGCGCGCCAGGGCCGCAACCATGATGGCGAGGCCAAAGAGCAGCGAAGCGTATGTGGTGGTTGCGAATCCGAGGAATGGCAGCGATGTGGCCCAGAGCGACGAAACGATGGTGTGCAGCACAAAGAGCACGAAGAATGTGAGCCCAAACCCGTCAAATGGTGGAAGGAGCTGGAAGTGCGGCGAGAGGTCGAAGCGGTCGTGCGAGAGGTGGCCGAGCGTTCCTTGTGCATGCGTAAACGACGACGAGAGGAGCAGGCTGCTTCCGATGCTCCACAGCATGGCGTCGATGCGCCACAGCGCACACAGCGCCACAGGAATCTCTGGCAGAGGCACGCCCAGCACCGCTTCGACCTCGGAGCGCTCCTTGGCCACGAGAAAGCGCTCCACCTCCTCTTCCAGCTCCTGGTCCAGCAGCGAGATGGTTTCGGAAGAGAAACTTGATGCGCTTGCCTGCGAGTCGGTCTCGTCGCCCGTAGCGATGGCCTCTTCGTCTACTTGCTCGACGGCCTCGTCTAGTGCACCCATGGCTCCGTACGAGCTTGGCGCGCTGAGATCGCCCGCAGGCTGTACCAAGCGCTGTCGTGCCTGTTCGAGCGCTCTGGAGGCAGACATGCGTCTTGCCTTGCCGTTCCCGCGCCCGCTCGTTGGATTCGGCTCCGGAGCCGATTCAAGACCACGTCCCGAGAGCATGCTGAAACCCGACTGTCCCACGCCCGCCCGATCCGTTTGCAGGGCATCCGAGTCTGGCCATTGCATCTCTGCGGCAGGTTCGACGTCGGCGGGCTTGTACAGCGCCACCTGGTGCAGGATCTGGAACGCGCCAAAGCTCGCCTCGGCCAGGGCCCAAGCGATGGACGACCATGCGGCAACAAAGAAGCGCGGGTCGCGGAAGCTGAGCCGCCATGCCCAGTCGGGCCCAGTGATGGATGCTGCCGTATCGATGAGATTGGCCGTGGACGGGCGATGCGCATACTTCTCCTGGATCGGGTACAGGTATAAGGCGGTGACGAGGATGCAGCATGCCCAGTAGAACGAGAGTACGCGCAGCGACTCGCCGATCAACGCCTGCATCGCGATTGCCACGGTCACAATCACGCTCTCTCGTCCCGGTCCGTTCTCAGTCGTGGGGAGCTGGAAGCGCGGCGAGCGGGACAGCAGACGCGATGGCGAAAAGAGCCGGGGTATGATGCGGTCCGCAAATGCAAGGCACGCCTTTCGGCTGGTGTACGACGCAAGCCAGCCCACCACGCCGAGAGCGAGCGTCGACAGCAACAGCTGTGCATCAAGGATCTTACGGCATCGCCCCTTCTGGTATCCCGACTGAAACGCCGAGTCTGGTGAAGCATAAGTATGCGGCGCGTCTCGAGGCGAGTCCTGCAGATGGCAAAACTCGCGCACCTTGAGAGAGCCGAGAAGAGCTGCGACCAGGATCGCGAAGGTAGGTACGAGCGCTAGCACGTGCAAGAAGAAAAATCTGCGGTACGAGGAGCGAAGCTGGCGCAGGTTCGGTGGTGTGTCTCCGCAGCCTATCGATACGGATGACGAGGAGAAGTCGGAAGCGTCGCCGGGGTTGCCAGTGATGCCGCGCTGGGCGCCTTTGCGGATAGGCGCCGCCATGCCAAAGATCGTTGCGGCGCCGCGGCGCAAGATGCGTATGTGGTGTAGGCGCTGATTCCAGCTGCTGGCCGCTGTGGTGATGGTGGATGGGTTGCAGACGAGACGATGCAGAGCAGGCGATGCACGCGGTTGGTGCAGCCGAGGTGTTGGAGTGTGACTGCGCGGGTGGGCGTGTGTGAAAAAGTGGATCGGGTGATAGCATCGGGTCCAGTGTGGAGGCATCCCGAAGATTTGGCTGCAGCGGCCCAGGAATTTTTGGCTGAAGGACCCTCTTTGGCACTTGTCGGAAGAGCCGCGCCCGCCATCCTTCTTTCCCTCGAGGTCTAGTCAGCACTGCACCATGCCCAAGAAGAAAGGCAACCTCAAAGCCGCCCTCAACGGCCACTTTGCGCAGCAGGAGCAAAAGGCCCGCGAACGAGCCGCTCAAGAAGCTGCGCGGCGCAAGGCTCTCTCCGTCACCCGATCAGGCGACCCGCGCTCCAAGAACGCCAAACGCAAGCACGCCAGCACCAAACGCGATTCGGGCAGCACTGATGCGGAAGGGCAAGCATCGTATTCGGCTGAAAAGAGCGCGGATGCTCCTGGCAAGAAATGCAAGCGGCTGCCGCAGCCGTTCGCGCGCGACGATTCAATCTTGATCGTGGGCGAGGCGAACTTCTCGTTCGCCCTGTCCTTGCTCCTCCCTCCCCGCTCGCATCCTCCATCGCAGATCCTCGCGACGGCATACGACTCCGAGGAGGAGTGCTACTCCAAGTATCCAGATGCACGTGACAATGTGGCGCAGATTCGCCGCTTGGCAGGGCGAGACGATATCGTCCTGTTCGGCGTGGACGCGGGTCAGCTCGACAAGTGCAAGCAGGTCACGGGCGCTGCCAAGGCCAAAGCCAAGGTCGATTCGAACCTCATCGATGGCGCTGATGGCGGGGCGTATTTGGGCTCTGCAAGCGCAGCCAAATCGCAACGAAGGTGGAGCAAGGTCTGGTTCGGCTTCCCGCACGTGGGAGCGGGCCACAAGGACGAGACCCGCAACGTGCTTGCCAACCAGCTGCTGCTGCTACGATTCCTTGTCTCGGTAGCACCTTACCTCACCTCGGGCTCGCTTCCATCATATGCGCCTGGGAGTGGTTCTGGGCCCAAGAGGCGCAGTGGGTCCGATGACGAGGACGAACCGGAAGACGAGGATGTTGATGACGATGCGGTTGATCTTGACGACACAAATCTCTCTACTGCCACCACGGATGCTGATCAGGCTGTGGTCGACGAGACACGTGCGCGCATCTCGGCACTGCAATCGCTGCAGCCGCCATCACGCCAGGGTTCTGTGCTCATCACATTGCGCAATGCCGCGCCGTACACTCTGTGGGACGTGGCGAACCTCGCCAAGCGTCTGCCGCAATTGTTGCCCGTGATCGCCGCCACGGCACCTGCGCTGCCCAAGGGCGTCAAGAAGCCTTCGCTCAAAGACCTCACAGCCAGCGGCCTCTCGGTACACAGCCCCAACAACCTTCATTCGAAAGCGGCCGATGCCAAGAGCACCTCGCATGGCCGCGAACGAAAGTACCGCAGCTACCACCTGTGGCGCAGCTTCGAATTCGATCCCACCGAATGGCGCGGCTACCAGCACAGAAGAACCGTTGGTTGGATCCAGGGCGTCAGCACGGGCGGCAACGACGATCTGCTCCGTTCACGGTCAGCTCATCGTGCAGAGGAGGGCAATGTCAGAGCAAGCAAGGCAGGCGCAGGTGAGTGCCGCACCTGGGAGTTCGGCCTCTCGTAGTCACATGTCACAACGCTCCACATCCACAATGCAAAGCGACGTTCCATTTCGAGACCACTACAATCTAGTCAAAGCCAAAACGATCCGGCACTGTCGCGGTGAAAAGAAGGTGTGGTTGCTTGTCAGCGTTCTGAATCTTTGAAGGGGTCACTCAGACTTGAGAGACGGGAGAGGAACTTACGAATCACAGGCGCCACGAGGCTCCAGGTGTAGATGGCGATGCAGAGCCAGCTGCTGACGACGCGCATCCACATGGCGGTGGTGCTGCGGCCGATGTATGCGATTGGTGCGCCGTCTTCGCTCGGATCGGGCGACGGACCGCCGAGGCGCACAAAGCGCCAGTCGGTCAGCAGCATGGCCGTGTAGCACGCCGCGATCGCAAACACAAAGTGGAAGAAGCTGTAGTTGTAGCGCGTTCCTTGGCGTTCGTCGTCGCTCTCATCCGCCGCACCCAGCTCGGAGCGCGTCTCGATCTCGTCGTCGTCCTCCTCTTCATCAAGCGCCGACGCTGGGATCGCACCCGCCTCGACCGCCGCCATCAATGCCTGGATGCGCAGCGAGTCCTTCTTCGTAGGCTGGTCAGACACCACGCCTGTTGACGAGTAGTCGAGCGAGTCGCGCGTTGCCAACGGTCCGTAGCCCGATGGTGGCCGGCTCTCGTTGAGCGCGGCGCGGCGCTTGCCCACGAGCGTCGTGGACTGCGTCGCCGCGCGCGACGTCGAGTATGCAATCGCAAGGAAGGTGAATACAGCACCGATCACCACCGTGGTGGTCTTGGCGCTGCCGCCGCGCCCGCGTGTGATAGGGTTGCACTCGGCATTGTCGCGGTTCATAACGGCCGACGCGATGAGGTATGTGCAGTAGGCAGCCACCATGCTGCTCTGCGCCAAGCCGCTCCTCGGATTGGCCTCCTGCACCTTGGGGCTGATCGAGAGCAGCGTGAGCACGACGATGAGTCCGAGGTTGAGACTGATGAAGAACTGGTTGAGCGAGCACCCGCTCGACGCAAAGAAGCCGTACAGCACGCCCGTCAGCGCGATCGTCGCCGCATACATGCCGAGCGTACTGCCGATGAGCGTGAGCTTCCAAAAGTCCGACTCGGTCTGTTCCCAGCGGTCGAGGCACGTCTCGGACCACGAGTGCGCAAAGTCGACCAGCAGCACCAGTCCCACCACGATGAACACCGACGCGAGGATGAGCGAAAAGTAGTTGGCCCAGAAGACGAAGAATCCGTTCGGGATAAAGAACATGAGCAGCGTGAGCAGCAGCCACAGCAGCACCTTGGGTCCCCACCAGCCATTCTGGATGGCCGCGCGCTTGGTGCGCGTGTCCTTGACGCCGATGAGGAGCATGCCGAGGATAAAGTGGAAGAGCGAGAGCGCAAAGGTGATGCGATGCACGGCAAGCACGCCGTAGCAGCGATCCTTGTCCTTGCAGTCCATCTTGATGTAGTTGTACGACCATTCTTCGATCTTGTGCATCATGAAGCCCGTGAGACTGAGCCAGGCGAGCAGCGCGTCCAGGCAGAAGATGATGGCGAATCCCACGCGCGTGGCGATCGACGACTGGCAGTTGCACGACTTGAAGAACGCGGATGCGGCGGTGCTGGTGCAGAAGAACGCGAGGCCCGCGACGCACGAGCTGGCGATGGATGCGAGGCCGCCGCCGAGGAAGGGCAGCGAAAGTGCCACACCCATTGCGATCTGGAATGGCTCGGTGGCGCACGAATCGGTGGCGCACGAACGATGAGCAGGGTTGGCGAGGAGGCAGGCTCCTGCGATGAAGAAAGTGACGCTGCTGTTGGCGGCGCGGATTTGCAGCTGGGGTGAAAGTGTCGTGGCTGGCTGGATCGAGGCCAATGGGGATGAGATGGAAGCAGGTGAGATGGAAGCAGGTGAGATGGATGTGGGGCTATGTGGAGAATCAGAAGCGAAATGCGCGCCCGCGCTGCTGCTTCAGGGTCACCGCGCGCAATCTCGGATCGAAATCCGGCGGTCGCAAGCTTGCTCAGCCAGGGGCGCGTGCCTACTCGCCAGCGACGCAATTACAGCACTCCACACCCTCGGCTCATGTGCAAGGCTTTGAAGGAGATTTGATGCTGGGATGCAAGTACAAGAGAGTGATTGGGATGGAAACCGGACTAGTCTACGCGGATTGCCGAGTAGATCCTGCGCAGCGCGGCGTAGGTGGCGAGGAAGCCGATGGCGCCAAAGAGAGTGAAGAAGAGGAGCGAGAGGATAGAAAGATAGCCGAGGAAGAGCACCTTGTTGGCGAGGCCAGGCAGCTCGAGTCTGGTCGCCCAGAAGAAGAGGCCGTAGACGAAGAACCAGATGGCGCCCGATCCACCTGTGACAAACGCCCTCCAGTGCCAGCGGTAGTCTTCGCTGCAGAGGTGGAAGTAGGTGAAGAGGATGGTGACGGTGGCCGAGGTGACGGCGGTGATGATGAATGCGAGCGCGAGGAAGCCAAAAGCATAGTAGATCTTGGTGCCGAACATCGAGTTGAGGATGAAGAGGATCTCGAGGAACGCCGAGGCAAAGATCAAGATGCCGGCGATCATGGCGGATGGCAGCGGGCGCAGGTACCACGTGTGCTGATAGGGGATCTGGCGTGGGATCGAGTTGGGCTTGACCGGATGGGTGAATCCGCCGGACCGGATACCGAGCATCGCGCCGACAGCGGTAAGCGGCACATTGATGAGGAACCAGAGCGCGACGAGCGCCAGCAGCGTGCCGAAGGGCACGGCCCCCGATGAGCCGCTGAAGATCAGGAAGAAGTTGAGCAGCAGCACGAGCGAGAAGACGAGGCTGGGGAAGAGCATGGCGGTGAGCACGATGTTCTGCTTCCAGTACTCGCCGCCCAAGCTGGCATACACCTTGCTCGAGACAAAGCCGGCGATGCTGCCAAAGAGCGTCCAAGTCACGATCATGACGGTCGCAAGCGAGCCGCGGTTGGACGGGCTCAAGAAGCCGAGGAGCGCAAACACGAGCGTGACGGCAGCCATGGCCACGAGCTGGGATCCCGATCCGATAAAGATGGAGAGGAGCATGGGTCTGCCAGGCGGACGGAAGACCTCGCCGTGGACGAGCTTCCAGCCAAAGTCCTCCTGGACGTCTTCGTTCATGTCGATGGCGTTGTAGCGGTGAATGTCGCGGCTGATGGAGCGCGCGACGACGATGGCGACCATCATGCACAGGAAGCTGACGATGACGATCGAGTTGATGAGCGCAAGCCAGTGGATCCTGGGGTCAAACACCTTGAGGTAGGCGTCCCAGCGCGTTGCCCAAGGTGTGGACGACTCCCTCCATCGGACGCTGTAGGTGTAGGCGACGCCGGTCGAGGTTGCGTTGCTGAGCTGGAGAGGGTTGGCTGCCTTGCAGTCTGCCGGCTGGCCCGCGGCGACACCTGTGAGCGAGTCCTTGGAGAGCGGATAGATGCGTGCGCCGACGACGCGGTACTCGTCCGGACCGCGCTTGTGGTAGTCGATGTAGATGTCGTAGTGGTTGTGCAGCGCGGGTGGGTCGTATTGCTGGAAGTGCTCATCCTGCAAGCTGCCGAGCGCAAAACCAAGCGAGAGGAACTCCTCGTGCGTCTTGATCTCTCTGCGCGACTCTGCGACGGGCAGACCGTCGACCATCCAGTTAACTGCATACTCCTCGCGTATCCTGTCGTTGATGAAGGCGGCGTTCTCGGGGGTGATGGTGGTGCGGCACATTTGCTTGCACACCTCGTCCTTGAGCATGACGCCTTGGACTGGGCTGCTGTAGATGCGGTCACCAAAGAGCACGCTTCCGAGGTTCTCGCTCTGCGCCTCGGGCCCGCCGTCGGGTGTGCAGAACTGGAAGCGCGGGTCGTAGTAGTCGTACTTGAGCACGCCCTTGATCTGCGACGTAAACGCCTTGGCCTGCAGAGCGTTCACCGAGAACGGCACCTGGTCGCCCTGCTTGTAGGAGTGCGGCGCGCTGCCCGGTAGATACCAGGCCGCTGCCTGCAATGGCAGAGCCAGCGCTACAGCGAGCGCCGCAAGCGCTGTTGTGCCTCGCATCTTGTGAGCGTGATCAAAGGGGCGGACGTGCCGAAGCCAGTCGAAAGCCCGGAGCCGATGCGATGATAGTCGTGGGGATCTCTGCTACGGCCTCGACCCGATGTGAGCTTATAGATTCGACTGCTGCGCTGGATGAAGTGGCTGAAGGCGGGTGCCACTGCGTCGGTGGGTGGGTGTGGCGCAGAGGGAGGTTCGCTGTCGGTGATGGATCGAGAAGAAATGAATCTCGCCGAGCGGCTCAAAGTCAAAGTGCAACACTTTGCTCGGAGCTGCAATCGGGACGCGTGCCAAGTCGGATCGCCCGACGGCTCCACCTTTTGCTCGCGCTCGGACCCTGTGCCGCTCCATCCAGCACCGTCCATCCTCACCTCATCCCGACGCACTTCGAAAACACGTCCGCTCTGCAAGCTTCGCAAGCTCCGCACGCGCAGCGACTCGAAGGAAACCGCTCAAGAGGTTCTTTCGGCGCATCGCCGCAGCTCGGCGACTCACTATGGCCAAGGTGAGTATCAGGCTGCGTGTCGACATGGGCATCCAAATCTGGTTCTGACTCGCTCTTCTTTCGCTTTGCTAGGTATACTCCTTCTGGGTGTTTGATCGGCACTGCAATGCGGTCTACCACCAGGACTGGTCGCATCTTCATGCTGCAGCATCGGTGAGGCCCGGTGGACCGACCAGCCCGACGCCGTCGCAATCATCGGGCTTTGCCTCGCTCGGCGCCTCGATCCAGCGCGCCACGGCGAGCGCACCGAGCGTAGCGGCCAACGACGTGCCGCTCGCCCCGCAGCGGCCGGGCGCACCATCGCTGCCGGGCGTCACACGAACCACGGCCTCTACTGACGCTGGTGCATCCACATCAGCCACCGCGACCGCGGGCCCATCCGCGCCCCGAGCTGCTGTAGAGCACCGAAGCACGGCCACGGCGGCGATCGACCCGTCGGCAACCGAGCTGCTTCCGTTCGACGAGCAGGCCAAGCTGG